GCACGCCGGGCATAACCTGGGATATACAATGCAGGCAATGTTAATGGGATTGTGTTCGATTGGCCACTTATCTATCCTGTCACCTGCAGCAGTTTAAGACACGTTTTGGCGGACGCTAGCTTCTCCATTGTATTTTATTTCTATTATATAAATAGGAAACTCCTCAATAACAAACTTTGGAAGACTCAACGGAAACACACTAACGCGTCCAGCTGGCAAACGTGATTACGGCGATAGTTCATTCGATTAGTTTCCATAGGTAAACAATCCAAAATCGATTATTCGATTTACTAGTTGTGGATTTAAGAATTAGTCCGTTACTCTGCAATAGTGAATAGTAAAAGAATCCCAAATTACGATTGAATGAATGGTTTAATTTGATAAAACTATAGATTTTGATCAATGGCTGTTTGAATTTTGAAACAATCTGAACAGTAGGTAAGATAAGCCTTCAGGGGCCTTCGTTTCCCTCTTCCTCCTCGCCGGGGCCATCCACGCAACTTTCGGTGCAGTCGGGTGGCAGGTCGTCAAGGAAGCGGTATCCGGCGGCCTTGAACATCTTGGCCTTCATCTGGAGGCCGAAAAAAGTTCTATTAGATAGTCTGTAGCAGCAACTCCGCGTCTATAATTACCATTATTTGCTGAAACTGGCAGTCGTATGCGTTGAGGGCAGTGTCCCGCTTTCGCAGCTCGTTTCGCAGTACATCGATCTCCATTTGCTGACACTGGGCCCGCTGGACGGCGCATTTGGCTGCCAACAGTTCCTGCTTCATCTGATTGCAACGGCACTGTCGCGGGGAAGGTAAGAAATCCACATTATTAACACTCAGCAGACAGGTGCTGAACAACGTACCTTAAGGATTTCCTCATTTCCCCTAGCCTTGTCCACCTCGTTCTCGTAGTAGTTCTGCATGTCGTGCATCTCGCACTGCAATTGCTCCATGCATCGACACTGCTTCCGCAGATTATCCTCCAAGTTGCATGTCAGACACTCCGCCTCATTGGCCTTCTCCTCCAGCTGGTTGACTTTATCGCCGAGCTCCTCCAGTTCCTTGCACTTCTTCCGCAGAGCATCACGATCGGCTAGAATCTTTTGGATGTTCGCGGCATCCTTATCCGGCGAGAAGCTGCCTTTTCCAGGAGAACCTCGCCCTCTACCGGCATGACCACCACCACCACCACCCTCGGAACCGCACTTTTTGGCGCAGCGCTTCATAACTTCGTCCTCAAACTCACGCAGTAGCGCCACCTCCTTACCCAAATCGTCGATCTTCTTCTGCAGGTAAGGGATGTCGTTGCTCTTTTCCGGATCGATTGGAATGCTATCCATCTTGCAGCGTTTTGATTGCTTTTCGATCAGTCGCTTTAGATTGGCGTTCTCAGCCTCTAGGATGTCGTGTGCCTTGTTCATGTCGTCGATGGCCGCCTGCAGGTTGTTCAGTTCCTTCTCGTCCTGCGGAGTGATCTTATTGTCATCGGCCAGCTGCTTGATTTTCTTTTTCAGAGCCTTGCTCTTGTCCGGATCATAGCGCTGGTCCATAATCCGCTTGATCTCGTCGGTCTCCTGATTGGCTGTCTTCAATCTGTCATTAGAATCGGCCAGTTTCTTCTGCAGCATGTTATTCTTGATCATTAGATCCTGCATGCGGCCAATTGTGTCGTCCGCGGCATTTATCAAGCTATCGCCCACCACCAAGGTGCTGCCGTACTCATCCTCCGGACCCAATGGAGATCTAGCGGTAGGCTCGCCATCACGCTGCTTCTTTATTGGCGAGTTGCAGGCCACCAGATCGGCCACGAACTGCGACTTCTTATCGTCTCTTGCTGACCATGATCTGTCGTCGATTGTGGATGGATACCTCTTCAGTTTCACACACGCATCGACACACTCAAACTCGTATGTCTCATTGTAAAAGGGTACGTGAAAGAACTCTTTTTGTGTGGAGAACGCCATGAATTCGCCTAGTGCTTAACACAAAAACAACTAATCTGTCATGCGAATTTACAACACTATTTTAAAATGCTTAAGGCTCGGGTCTGAAAGCGATCAACAGAATATGTATGGGTCCGACATGTATTGCATCACAAAAAAATCCTTTGCTGGGGGACAGTTAAAAATTTACATATGTCTGTCAGTCGGGCCAGTTGTCAAACTGCCTACTAGACTACAATTAGTTAACAGTTCTAGATGGACTAAAATTATTCAAGGCCTTGTGCTCTGCGCTCCGCCAGCGATTCGTCCACAGAATTCATGGAAGAGAAGCCACACGGCTGCATCGTCATGCTGGCTGTGCCGGAGCTAATCGTTCGTAGGGCACTTGAGTAGCCGGAGAGCTCTGCCAAAGGAGCATTCACCAGAATCATCTATAAGAAAAAAAGAAAAGTTCTAATACACGCCACTAATAGTTGTGCACCTAACCACGGTGTACCTTATTTCTTTCGCCTTTAGGTAGGACATCGTTAATTAGCGCTCGTCGCCGTGAAAGATCAGCCATAATTCCGGAAATACGTTCACTGGGTGCCACAATTTGAAGGGCCATAATAGGTTCCAACAGCCGGGTGCCACTCGTGCTCAGTAGCTGTAGGGTTATATACAATATAAACCAGTTACAATAAATAATTCGATTAGAGCTACCTTTTGCACACACTGAGATGCAGTGGCCATGACAAAAGAATCGGCAGTGCCTCGTCCAATAGTTGCGTTGTGCAGGCGTATCTGCGTCTCCACAACCTGCCCACCAACGCGAGGTCCTCGTTCTAGAGCACTGATGGAGCCCTTCCGAAGAACTTGAAGAATTCGTGGCCGCAATGTGTTGAGATTTGGCAGGTTCTCGGGTGACTTATCTAAACTTTAGTGGAAAAACAAATTTAAGTTTGATTTCATAGGAGTTTCGTAGTATTTCAAATTACCTAAACAACTCGGCTTGATTTTTGACCACCTCCAGTGTTATACTGACACTCTGCTTGCTGCCAGCTATTTCCTTTTCCACACTTAGGGTGGTTAACGCAGGTGATTCAATCGCTTCCTTGTATGCAATTTGCAGAGGACCGAGGTCAACGTCGATTTTGTACTCGCTCAGGATGCGTGACTTGATGATGTCCATGTGCAACTCGCCCATGCCACCGAGTACTGTCTGTCCGGTGACTGAATCGTAGCTCACGCGCAGACTGGGATCCTCCCTCTGCAGCTGCTTAAGTGCCTGCTCCATCGCCGTTTGAGAGGATACGCTGGGGGGTTCGATCGAACAGAAGTACACGGCATCGGGTATTTGCGGGTCTATAGCAAACAGCTCGTGTGACTCGTCAAATTCATCGTCTTCCTCGCCTTTGGCCGCAGTGCTACCCAGGCTTTGTTTTAAGCGTTTTTGTGCATTCTTTAGCGCTGACTGACTGGAGGTCAATAGATCTCCTGTTACAGTGGACTAAGAAACAAGGTATTCAGTCTTGTTGTTTAATTATCTATATGGGGTGCAGCTTACCTTCAGCCCTGCACATATTACCACATCACCCGACTGCACAGCGCTGACCTCTCGGTATTCGTCAGCCAATGGCTCATAGAGCTTAGACACAACTTCTGCTTGTCCTCGAGCGGATATCAAACGCATGCCTCGTTTGATTTCGCCTCTCAAAATCCTTACTAGGGTTAATGGACCACGTTGCTTATCATGTACAATTTTGAACACCTTGCCAGCCACCTCTGTTCTGTGAACCACTTCAATTTAATATGAAATATTTACTTATTCCTGAATTAGTACTCACCCAAAACAGTCGTAGATTTGGTTTCGTTCCTCGGGGGCAGGCAGGTAAGAGTTGACAGCATCCATTAAACGCTGTATGCCAACATTTTTGTAGGCGGAGCCCAGCAATACGGGCACTACTTTCTGCTGAGTGGTCGCCCGTCGCAGAGCTCTTTCGATTAATGCATTATCCACTTTGTCAAAGCTTTCTGTGCTGATAACCACATCAGCCAATTCGTCATCTAATCCCGACAGTTGATCAATTAGTTCATTCCGTTTTTCCTGCAGCTGGCGCAAATCATCAGAGGGCTCCAGTTTTACATTTTTGTAGCTGCGTCCCAAGTCCTTTTGCTGCCAGCTTAGCCGCTCCAGGTGGATCACGTCATTGATGGCTAAATTTGGCGGAGCTTAGATTAGCTTTCAAGAGAATTGGAGAGCATACCTAATTGCCCATCTTCGTTTTTCACGGGATACTGTAAGCAAACGGGCTGCGTTTCCAGCTTATCCTTCAGATCGCTAACGCACTTTACAAAGTCCGCATCAGGACGATCCATCTTGTTGACGAATATAAGACGTGGCAGCTTGTGCTTATCCGCCTGCGACCACACGGTGACTGTTTGTGCCTCCACGCCAGCTGTGCCATCCAGAACAACGACCACACCATCCACGGCGTACAGAGATTGCTCAACCTCCATGGTAAAGTCAATGTGGCCGGGTGTGTCCAATAGGTTGATGCTAGATTTAATGGTGTTAAGAGTTAGGAGCAAGCGAGATAGCACAAGAGACTCCTACCGGTGGTCATTCCACGGAAATGTTACCGCCGAGCTGCAGATCGTTATGCCCCGTTCGCGCTCCTGGGTTAGGTAATCGGTGACCGTGTTGCCTCGATGCACTTCACCCAGAGCTCTGGTCTTGCCGGCATAGAACAGCATGCGTTCCGTTGTCGTTGTTTTGCCTAAAACGGATTCATTGATCAAACAATCTTAAATAGTATTCGAAATTGCAATGCTCCTCACCTGCATCGATATGCGCCAGAATTCCTATGTTCCTGATCTTACTGCTATAGCTACGCTTCCAGATTTGATTGGACAGCTGCCACAGCCATCTGTTGCTTTGTCTTGGACCGTTTTGCCATGCACATTTCAGCATTTTCATTAATAAATTAATAATAATGGAACCAAACTGCAAAATCAAACCGCCTTCAGCAGCTGTTCATTTTTGATCGTTATCGATAAGTGTAAGATAACAGCTGTTGCAGTCAATCGAATATTTACGAATTTGCGCTCATAAGTGTGGCACGCGAAATTGTTAAGCTCTTCTGTTTTAACCTTTTTTATTAATATAAAGTGAATGGCTAATAAATATTGATATTGTGCTTATTAACCATGTATTTAAGAAAAAATTAATCTAAAGATAACACCTTTAGGTGTAGCCAGATACAAGTAAATTAAGATTAAAGTACAACCCAGATTTGTAATCTCAGTTTCACAGTCCTGTTGTTCAACATGTCCACAAGACCTCGACGCGCTGTCGCCACAAAAACGCTGGTAATTGATTCCTCCGACTCAGATGAGGAACTGAATCTTACGGAAAACGATGATTACAGGCCGCAGGAGACCAAAAGTCGCAGGATAGATCGCGCTGCAAATGCGCTAGCCGGCGTGTAAGTGATACCCCGTAATCTCGTTAAGGAGAGTATATTTACCATATATCCTTACAGAACCAAACGCCAGCGCTGGCCGACATCCAAAAATGCAGCTGCTGAGGGACCAGCTCGCAAGAAAAAGCGGGTCGGCAAAGAAAAAGAGGACGAGAATGCTTGTCCCAATGAGACCAACCAGGAATCGGTAGTCCAGGACGCACCGTCAACTTCAAACCATCGAAGTGAACCTGTAGCCGCTGAAAACAGTTCCGAGGCTCCGGCTCCCAAAGGAAAACGCACCAGAAAGGATAAAAAGGACTTGAAGGCTGCAGCCAATGAGACCATTCCTGAGAAGGGGGACGTTGTGCCCTCAACAGCAATGACACAACCAGACGGTATTGTGGCCAGCTCCAGCAGGATGTCTTCCACTGGACGCAGTTCCTTCTGGGGCCGACGAAAGGTGTGGAACATCCACGAGCTTTTGGCCGAAACGGAGAACATACAACCGCAGGCAGCGCAAAATATTGTACAGCTCTTCGAGAATGAAAACACAATACCTTTTATTTGCAGGTACGCCTATTATTTATATAAATATTCTCGCATTGATATTTATGCGTTGACAGGTACCGTCGAGATTTGGTGGATCACATGGCTCCAGATCGCCTTAGAGACATTCGGAATACGTACATAGAAATTGTCGATCTGCGGAAAAAAGCTGAGCATATTGTCGGTCAATTGGAGCGCGAAAACAGCATAAATGCGGAAATTAGAGAGGAGCTGATGTGCGCTAAGACCAACGAAGAACTGGAGTTCTTATATGCTCCATATAAGCCGGCCAGTAAGGGCACTTTGGCGGAAAGAGCCAAAGCTTTGGGCTTGGAGGAGTACGCTGATCGTTTGCTGTACGGTTCAACAGTTAAGGTCAACCTTTCTGTAATTGTGGATCGCGGTAACGAGGCCTTGGCTACGGAGGCACTTGTAATGGCTGGAATCTGCAATATTATTATTCACAAAATTAGCAAGAACACAAATGTTTTGGAGGAAATACGAAGATTGTAAGTCGTTGTTCCTAAAAAGTAGCTCTTTTTATTGACATTTTGTGCTATATCTTTCTAGACAAAATGTGCACCGGGTAGTCCTCAAGTGCAACAAGACCAAAGAGGCGACATCGTCTAAGTCTTCTGGTAAAGCAAGCTCCAGTAAGGGATCCAGCGGCATTGCAGACAAAAAATTGGACAGCTCAAAGTTTGAGAATTATTTCAACTTCCAGGGTGATGTAAAAACTATAAAACCTCATCAAATGTTAGCCATCAATCGTGGGGAGAAGCACAAATTTCTTACTGTCAAGTTAGAAACGAACGATTACCTGAAAAGAGATCTTATGCGCTTTATAAGCGATCAGTACATGAACGAAGGCTTGCAATATCCTTTAAGAAGGGAGGTGTTCACGAAATCTTTAGATGAGTGCTACGCGAAAAAGTGTAAGAAATTCAACACATTGAAAGCCCAAAAGTTATGTTAATATGTGTCTAATTACAGTGCAACCTTTAATGTGCAGGCAGATTCGAGCCGACCTAAAAGAAAAGGGCCAAAAGGCAGCCATCGATGTGTTTGCCAAGAACCTGAAGCAACTACTGTTGATGTCGCCCCTGAAAGGCGAACGCATTTTGGGCATAGATCCTGGTTACACGAATGGATGCAAACTGGCGGTCATATCCGAAACTGCGGATGTGCTGGACACTGGTGTCATTTACCCTCATGGTGCCAGGTCAAACAAGAGGGCTGCTGAACAGAAATTAGTTCAGCTTCTTTCAGATCACAAGTATATATATTTTAAATTAGATTTACAAAGCGAAATATAAATACGTAATTTTTGCCTTCTCTAAAAGCTGCCAAATTATTGCCCTGGGCAATGGTACCGCTTGTCGCGAAACTGAGCACTGGCTAACCGATATGTTTCACGCCGGCGTTCTGGACGGCAGGAGCATTCGCTACAGCATCGTTAACGAGAATGGTGCATCTGTTTACTCCTGCAGCGATGTGGCCGCCAAGGAGTTTCCCGAAATGGATACAAACGAAAGGAGTGCAGGTTGGGACAAAGATCAATTGAAAAGATAACCAATGATAAATATATTGAACATATTTTGTATAGTGTCCATAGCGCGTCGTTTGAACGATCCGTTGAGTGAATATGTTAAGATAGAGCCTCGACACCTGGGAGTTGGTATGTACCAGCACGATGTTTCCGAGAAGATTTTGACGGAATCGCTGAAGGACGTTGTTTCCGAATGTGTTAGTTATGTTGGAGTGGACCTCAACACAGCCAGTCTGAGTGTGCTGAAGTAAGTGTAATCAACGGTCCAATAAGTGATATATTATTAAAACTCTCCACCATATAGACACATTGCTGGTCTGTCGGAAAAGAAAGCAGAGAAGATCATTGAGTATCGGACGCAGAAAGGACCATTTAAAACCCGAAAGGATCTGCTCTCGGTGCGAACCATAGGGGAGAAATCGTTTGTCCAGTGCGCCGGCTTTGTGCGCATCGAACCCCTAAGCGTTGGAGGCCGGATACAGAATCCTTTAGATTGCACTTGGGTGCATCCGGAGAGCTATAAAGTTGTGGAAAGGTGAGTACAATTTCCAAGTGACTTTATTAACCAATAAATGTTAGTGATAAGCAAATTATGAGACACTCAAATAAGGTTGTTCCGCTGCAAGCCTGGCCTTCTCATCCGCCGCCCTCACTAACAAGGAGGTGTCACTAGGTGTCACAATGTCACTGTCGCGTTGCGTGATGACAGCAATGTTCTTTGGACAATCATCATCGAAATTCTTAGGATTTGTAATATCTTCGCTGGTTTCCAGCTGACACCAGCAGGGAAGGTACGGCTTCAAGGGATCCTTTTTGTCGCACCGCTTGCAGGTGCAGTTCTCCATGCCGGCGCTCATGAATGTTCGGAAGTCTGTCTCCAGACTCAAAAGCCCCAGATAGTCCTCGATAGAGTGCTCTTTCATAGGGTCCATCAGTTCCGCCCAGGTCTTCAGTTTCACAATCACGCCAAAGAAATATGTGTTTAGATTCTCGATTATTTGCAGCACCGAATCTAGATCTTTTAAGTATGTACTATCTAAAGACCGGTCCAACCTGGATACGCGTTGATCCAGCTCCTTCTTAGACTCACGCATGTCCAGATATAAATTGCTCAAATCGGTGCTGAAAAGTTAATTAAATTAGCAGTGGTCGCGGAGTTTAAATAGACTTACTTGGACTGATTAACGATATTGTAGGCTCTCTGAAACTCGCAAAGGGCGCGCTCTTCGGTCATCCGGCTTAGGTACTCAGGATAAGTCTTGGTGCATCCGGTCGAGCCGGCCAAAATGCGATAGCGCACTCCATGGTAACGCATCTCCTTAACCTTCTCAATCTGCAATGCTTTGGCCTGCTCCAGCTCATTCTTTATAACCTTCATTTCCTGGTCAACAACTAGAGTTTGCTCGTGCACACACTGCTCGAGCTTAAAATCGTAGCGGGAGTAGATATTCTCACAATGCTTAAAAGTTGGCTTCAGCAAATGGATGGGAATGGTCGATCCTCGGCACGGTGGCGGAAGCGGACGTCGCTTGTACCGCTCCGGCGGATACTCCCAGCAAACTCCAAAGCGAGCTTGGTCCGGCACACTGAGCGGATTCTGCCAGCAGGGCTTATACTTCGGCTTGTCGTTGTGACCGTAAAATGGGACCTTTCCACATGCCACATACCGAAACTTGGCGGGCGGCAGACTTGGTGGATAATGCCAGCGCTCCTCATATTGTTGCTTTAGTTTGGCGATCATTATTATTGGAAATTTGAAATCTAAACTCTAAAACTAAATACTTTTTGTGCTTTCAGTATCGTCGGAGAATGTGACTTAAAGCTGTCGGATGTGGGCAAGGCTGGCTTTATAGCCAGCATCAAGCAGTTTGCCGCGTCTCAGTCGAAACTCGATCGCATTGCCAAGCAGCACAAGCTACCCATGGAGCGGGTAAGTGCCATTCTCTCCTTTACTACATGTTAATATTTGGCACAGAACAACCCTTTACCCAGTTGTATTCAAGGATGTGCCCGCTATCCTAATGCAAAGTTCAAATATTTTAAAATCTATTTTCTTTCAGTTGGAGTTCCTGTTGGTTGCCCTGCAGCGCGAATTGCTGCAAGATTATCGAGCAGATCTGGACAAGAGGCCACTCTTCAAGCAGGGCCTAACGAGGCTGGATGATCTCAGCATAGGCGAGGTGGTTACTGGCAAGTGGAGACCATGATACCCATTTCATACATAGACTTATGGAAGCTATTCCGACATACAGGTGCCGTGACCAATGTAACCCAGTTTGGCGCCTTCGTGGATGTGGGAGTGGAGCGCGATGGCCTGATACACAACAGTCACATGAATGATGCACAGCTGAGTATTGGCGATCGCATTGTGGCATCGGTGGTAAAGGTGGATCTGCAGCGACGCCAGTTGGGATTGCGTTTGGAAAACATGCTGGTGGAGACGGATACCTCGTTTACGTTCAAGACGGAGGACTAGATAAACTGCAGGGATTTAATGCTTTTGGAAGTATTTAATGATTCATATCGTAATTGTTTGGTTGCTCACACGAGCATTCATATATACTATATATAGTTCATATATATATACGTGTATATGCATAGTATAACGGCTTTCCTAAGTTTACTCAAAGCTTATCAGTTAGTAATAAATGTTCACATAAAAATCACCGTCTCCACGTTCGTCTGCTTGTTTCCCTTCTTGCCATAAGTTAGCAAGTTGTCTTAAATGAATTGTTATCGAAAGGGTATTGCTTTAGAAACTAAGTGATGCCCTCGTAAGCCAGTTAAAATGGTTGACTAAATAAATATACAATATGCATACATCTAGGCGCGCTTGGTTAGCAGGCAAGTTGCGTTCACTTTTAGTTTGTATTTTCGAATTTATTGCCGTTTCAGTAGAATTGTTAAAAATGATTATAAACAATGTTATATAATCTGCATTTACATAATTACACAATACAATAATCATAATATATTCAAAAATATATGATGCATTTAAATTTATTGTTTCCTCCAGCTCTCTTTACCCCGTAATCGATATTAATTTCATATTCTAGCTACATGGACATGTCGCGTAATCAACCGATAATTGTTTAAATAAATATATTAATCCGTACATAATATTGGAGTAAGTGTACCTACACAGATAATGTGATAATGTATCGCAAAAGACCAAAAACAAGTCGTACATGGTATGGTAGTAATTGCTTAGGTTTAATGCTAATGCGCTCGTCCTCTTTCTCATTTCGTTATTGTTACTGCCGATGTTCACCATCTTCTGGTTGTGTAGAGATATTGTTCATTAATTTATAATTTATTTTTATCATTTATAATGATAGCATAGGTAATGATGTAAGTATTGTTTATCAACTCTTGTAATAATAAGTCTATGTGTATAAGCAGTTTTCATTCTCGTTCCTAAACAGCCGTCCAGCAGAATCTTTGGCGAAGCAAATATGAACGATAATTCAAATTCGAATCGATTCGAATCGAGGCTGTGTAGCTTTAAATCAGGTGAAACCGATCTCGAGTACCCACATTTGGGGGGATAAGAAGCATTATACATATGAAATCAAGTGCTTGAATTCTTGATTAACCTTTGATTGCCGAGATTATGCCGATGTCTTCTGATGAACGACCTTCAAACGTAAAATTCTCCCTCGTTAATTATCGCGTTGGTAGTCTAATTGTCTCAAATGATCTCTTCCTCGAGAAAGAACCCCGATGGGGTTCAAGTAATTGAATGTGCACGAATTCCGAATTTCTTCAGTGGCAGACACGGCACAGCCGCAACGCTTGAGTGTAAGTGGGTGTTGGGTGGTGGCGTGAGTGGTGCTGAGTATGCGAGTGGGTGAGTGGTTCAGTGGTTCAGTGGTTCTGTGGATCTGATCTGTTTCGTGTTCCCGTCGGAGGCAGCGTGGCATTTTGGAGTATTCTATTCAAATTCGTTCAATCGCCTGCTTCTCTGGTGGGGAGAGAAAAGATAGTTACACGCATAAGTCGAAATTGCTGGTAGGTTCAATCTAGGACTTGGCACTTACCGATAGCCAGGAGGCGGGGATTGTGATGTAGGTGTGTGTGTTGGTATGCGAGTTTTGAAATGATCGAAATCAAGAGCGAAATAAAACGTAATTATTTCTTTTTCTTCTCTTTTCTGCAAGTGTAGAACGATAAGCGAGGTTAGCAATCGTGATGTGAAACAAAAAATGGGGTGTCGGATGGAGGTAATTCGTTTAGGATCGCACTAAGCCAAGCTAGACACTGAAGAGTTAACAATTAACATAGACTTTTGGCCTCGGCCTGCTCACATTTAATAGGACAGGTGATCAGGTCAGTACGGGTCAGAGCATTTACAAGGAGCACCTCTTAGAGCTTGGAGCAGATCACTAGCCTCTGAGTTGTGGTGCTGCGTGTGCTGTGGCTGATGGCTAAATCTTGGCAAGAGACTAAGTTGTTTAAAGGCTTTTCGAATGGATAAAGTGCCGCCAGAGTGGGCAACAGCAGCAGAAGACATCGAACCATCTGTAAGATTGAAGAATTCTTCCATTTGGGTTTTGCTTTTCACTTTTCACTTGGGTGGAACGTAGCAACGCATTTGAACGGGAAAACATAATGGCAACGGGCAACGAGTGACGGCAACTGCTTTGGGTTCACCTAGGGCCTGGGGTCACCAAATGTCGTCGGGTTAGCATGAGTCAAATATGGTACATCGGTGAAGTCACCAGCAATTTGTGTAGTGTGTGGATGTGGGATGGCTTAATTGATTCCGTCTACTTAAATTGTATATCTATTTGTTGGATGTGTGCGGGTTTGTAAAACTGGTATAATCCTTTTTTTATGTGTGATTATGTTGTTTGCATGTATATTTTGAATGCCGCTAGCTTAGGCTTAAACGTAAACGTTTGCTACTAGTGAACCACATTTGTGTTTTCTACAATTCTTTAATTTCGTTTCTAAATATAATTTTGTTTTGTATACATTAACGCCAAAACTTTGGATTGCTACTAGTGCTACAAAAAACTGCGTTCTATAGTTAACTATTCCAATCTTGACTTTAAATCGTTTGAAACGGTCGAGCGTTTGGGTTTCTAAATTCCTAATTATCAATTACGAATTGTTCATTGAGTTTTCACAGCATGTTGTGTGGTTGTGGTTGCTTCCAAAATAAAACCATTTTCACATAAGAACTAATTACATTAGGGGTCTCTCCATCTCCTCGTGGTTTTAATTGCCTACGCGCAACACTTAAGTCTGAATTCAGTTATTGTTATACGTATCGTAGTTAAAACTATTCAAAATAAAAGCTTGTATATGTAGGGATGTGGTAAATTGATGCCAGCAAATGCCAAACAAAAAGAACACACACGAAATATATTTACACATAGAAAGGATTAGGGCAAAACAGTGGCAACAGTACAGAAATGCCAGCAACACAACAGAACTCCGCAGCACACTGAGTCCCAGAACAGCTTGTGCCAGGCCAAATTGGTCGACACCGAGATCCTGGGCGGACTGCGGAACGAACAACACAACAGTAAAATATTGGAAAAGCAGCTGAACACAAAATAACAACGAAAGCGAAAGCAAAAGAAACAGTTAAACATGTAGCTAAGGACAAGAAAGTAATATAACGAATGGATCGGAGCGATCGCTTAAACCACACAAGCTGAGAAAACTCCCATTACGCGTCAGCCAATGTCCTGCTGCACATGGGCGGAGGACGAGGAGCTGCTGCCGCTGGGGCGTTGCTGCTGACTGTACCTGTTCGTTGGCTGTTGCTGCTGCTCCTTCTGCTGATCCTTCTGGTTAATACTTTGCGGCGTGGGTGGCGGGCAGGCGGTGGTGGTGCCCACTGGGAATGTGTCGGCCTCTTCCTCGAGCGCCGCTGGAGTCGGCTGCTGCGCCTGCAGCTCCAGCTGCTGCTGGTCAGCCAGCATCTTGGCGCTCAGGATGCTCACATAGGTGCGGTAGCGACGAAGCTAAAGATAATAACTTTTATAATTTCGATTCATTAGGAAAGCTGGTAAAAACTTACTTCATACTGCAAGTAGCTCTCCTTTTCCTTGTAGTTCTGCAGAGCTAAGCCCTTGCTGGGAATAGGACCCTTCTTGTGCTCGTTAAGCTCCTGATCCAATTGCGCCAACTGCACCTCGTGCGAATCCAACTGCTCCTTCTGCAATACACCAGTAATAAGATTAGCGAACTGTACATGCGTGACGAGCTTGTGGTACCCACCAGCAACAGCTTGGATTGCTTGCTGGGCAGGAGCGGGCGCTGGAATCGCTTCTGACTGCCCACCCCGCCCTCGAGCGGAGGCGCTGATATAGCGGCGCACACGTAGTTGATAGTCTCCACCCACGACTGCAGCTCCTTGGAGTCGCTAGTCTGGAACAGATACTCGGCCTGGTCGGCCGTCTGCAGCCGGAACACATGTTGCTTCTTGGTGTAGTCGTTGGCCTTGGTGGCCAGTGCGTGATGTATGCGTATTGCATTGTGCAGATTGTCGGACATCTGTTGAACAATTTGAAAGTACGTAAGTAAGGTGCTAACTGCTGGGTCATGGTACTTACTTGACTTTTACGAAAACCGTGCTCATCCTTATGCAAATACAGCACAAGATCACGCAGCGTGCAGTAGAACATCTTCCAGGATCGTTTGCCAAAGGGAGCTGTAAATATACAATAGTAAATTATACTGATTTGTTCATTTCACTTTTATAAGTCTTACTTTTCTTAAAGCTGCTATCATAGCAGCATTTACGCATCACATAGCCTTTTTTGTATTCCACAGCTGTGGCCAGTTCCGGGGGATCAAGGAAGGGATTGTGGCCCACATTGCCCAGGGCACTATTGTTGGCTCTTTGCTGCTGCAGATCACCTGCCTCTTCATCTCTGGAAGAATACGTCGTATACGTGGTATAAAGCTTAAAGTGAAGACATTGTGTTTCGCCACTTACAGTGCCCACTCAAGCGGCTTGGTCTTAATGGCCTGGTAAAGCGACTTGAGCACATCCTTGGGAAAGTTCTCGCCATCGTTGAGATCTGCCAGGTTGTCGACGAATTCCGCACAGCTCATCTTGCGATTCATGTTCTGGCCGTGCAAGTCCGTATTCAGCAACATTATGGCACAGGTCAGCGTGTGCACGGCGTCCTGTGAGTTAAAGGTGCCAGGATTGCAGTCGAGGAAGCGCTTGGAAAAGTGCACCAGCACCCGTTCCCGTTCCTGCGTTTCGCCGGACAGCGAGAACTGCTGCAAGAACTCACGCAGCGCTTGGTCAAGTGATTTCTTCTCAAAGGTAAAATGCTTGAGATACTCATCGGCCACCGCACGACTAAAGTCATTGCTGCAAGAGGAAGAGGTTGTTTAATAATAAAATTAAATAATTATTTAATAAGATCTGCATTCTCACTTCTTGCTGAGGTGTCGCGACACATCGCTCTTTTTGAAACCGTCGAGGGAGTGCAGTCTTTTGGCCAGGCGTATGGCCGAGGGCATGTCCACGGCCTTGGGCGAGTAGTGATACGAGTGGAGCGACTCCACATCGCTGCCATCGTCGGAGACGGGCGGCGAGGCGTCCCGCATACCGACAGTCATCGTGCCCAGCGGCTCGTCCGTCAGTGTGACCACATCCTCCTCGGAGCGACCGTTAGTACAGTTGCCGCTGCCGCTGCTGTTGCTGTCTAGGCCGCGCACTTGGATGACCACCTTGTGCTCGGACTGTTCCCTGTCTCGATCCCTATCCCGTTCCCTTTCCCTCTGCTGTTGCTGCTGGGCGCGCAACTGCTGCTTAAGCTGCTGGCGCTGCTGGGCGGCCGCGTCCGATACGAGAATGGTGGAGTCCGAATCACTGGGATCGCTAAGTACCATGCCGCCTAGAATATCGCGAGAACTCAATAAATTATCGTCGTCTTGGTAGTCGGGACTAGATATATTCGAAATGGCCTCTGAGACGCTCTGATCGTTGTTGCCACCACCACCAATGCCTCCACCACCACCATTGTTTCCGGGCCCACCACCTGGGCAGCTAAGCAAACCAGGAATCCCGCTGGGCGGATGCGCGACCTGGCCGCCCTGCTCCCGCTGCTGCTGTTGTTGCTGCACGGCGGCCATGGGACCATTGCTGCTGCTGCCCAGGCCCAGGGCGCCCTTGGAGCCCGACGAGGACATCACCGACGAGGAAACCGACGTGGGCGAGGCCGGACTGCCCACAGCCGAGTGCTGGGGCGACGAACTAATGGAACTTGAATGTGAATTTGAATGCGATTGCTGACCGTAGAGTTGCTGCTGCTGTTGTTGCTGCTGATGCTGCTGCTGGAGCTGCTGCTGTTGCTGCAGATGTTGCTGGTGGAGCTGCTGTTGCTGCTGCTGGAATTGCTGCTCTTGCTGTTGCTGCTGTCGCTGGAGAGCCGCCAACTGGTGCGGCTGGAGTGGCGCATTATAAGTCCACACGATCCGATCGCGATCCGATGCCTATAGGAGTTGCAACAAACCAGAGATTAGTAATACGGAAGTAACAAGGTTTTCAAAGTTGTCGTTAATCGATTTATGCTCTATGGATTTTTTTGTCAGATCTCGAATTTCCATTGCCGTTGCCCAATCTCTCTGTGGAGTCCTAAACAATTTTCCGAGTGCTGAAAGCGCGTTCGGTGTCTGTTCTGTGTGTGAGTGTCAGAAACTTAGGTGGTATGCATTTGGTTCGGGTGTTGTGGTGTATGTACGTTGTGGACAAGCGTTTGGTGTCGAAAGGTTCTCATCTTCTACGTACAAAAGTTTTCCAAGCGCAGGCAAAAAATCAAAATCGGCAAAATCGAAACGAAATCAAAATCAAAAGTCACATTAATCAGCATGCCAACTATGCAAATGGCAACCTTTTTGCATAAAATATAGTTTAATTTGCTGCTGCAGTTCATCGTTCTCGTTGATGTTGCAGTCATGATTGTTGCAGTTGCCGTTGCAGTTGCAGTTGCTGCTGGTTCGCTGGTGTTGCTGCTGCAGTTATTGTTGTCGCTGGAGCTGCTGCTGCTGCTGCGGTTGTCGGTCTGCTCGCCCTCGTTGTTGTTCGAGGCCAGTGACGAGTTGTTTACAATTACAGTGGCCATCGACTAGAAAGCTCACGGAGACAATAAATTGCGCATTTCAAATCGATTCGAGAAGAGTCAAAGTAGGAAACGAGAAAACGAAAGAAGAAAGAAACGCGAAACAAGAGAGTAAGATAGACAGAGAGTTGTTTAGTAGTAAGTAAGTTAAGTTAGGTAGGCAAGTTCAAAGTAACAAGGTAACAAGTTAACAAGTGAGCAAGAAAACAGTGGGTTTTGGTTTGGGTCTAGGTCTAGGGATGATTAGATGATATGAATGGCTTACAGAACAATGCAATGGCTAACACACACGCAAACACATATACATATATGGTCAACAGACTACAGAAACCAGTTAACGAAAACCGAACTCTACATAAGCACTTTAAAACGGAGATCGGGATAGTAACTCATCAACTACGAGTGTCAAGTGTTCTGGGGGAGATCTGGCGGAAGGAAAATTCGACTGTTCGCTGTCTAGCTCTATCCGGCGGACTATCCTGCGTGGAGTGGTAGTGCCTAAGCGCGGCGACGCCTCACCTGCGAGTCCTCGGAGTCCTGACGCGTGTCCAGCAGCGTGTTCAGCGAGCTATTCACATCCTCATCAATGTCGATGGGTATCACGGCGGCGATGCCCTCGCGCTGGATCTGCTGCAGATGGTCCTCGGACTTGCTGGTGCGGAAACCGGCGGCATCACACTTCCGCACCACATGTCCATTGTGCCGGCGCACCACCACGGCTCCGGCGCCAGCGCCGCTGCTCGATTCCGGAACAAGCGAACTGGGCTCCGGGCTCGTGGGCACCGAGTTGGCTGTCTCCTTGTCGATCAGCGGCGTCGACAGCGAGATCGGAGAGGTTGGCACTGAGAAGGAGGTTTCATCTAGGCCCAGGCCGCCAGCCTCGCTCTTGACCGTGGTAGATGAAGATCCCGATCCGGAGCGGCCCGCACAGTCGACGGCATCCCGATTTCGTTGCTGCTGGCGGGTGGCAGTGCGCTGTTTCAACGCCCGCAATCGTTGCTTGGCTGAACCGGAGCCCAGCGAGTTGGTGGAATAATCCTCGTCGCCCGCATCGTTCTCCTCATCGTCGTAGGCATCATCATCATCGTCGTCGTCCACCAGGCACTGCCGATCACTGTCATCGTCGTCGCCCCGGCCCACACCGCTCTGATAGGTTTCGATATTGGTGATGTCGTAGTGAGTTTGATCCTCCTCGCGCTCCTCCTCAACCTCCTCCTGCTCCTCCAGCTCGTCCTCGTTTTGGTAGTATTCGTAGCGTTGCTGATTCTGCTGTTGGCGGTATCGTTGTTGCTGTTGGCGCTGCCGCTGCTGTTTGTTGTCCTCTTCCAGGACATACTCGGCCTCCTCGTCCGGCTCCAACTCCTCGCACATTAGCAGCGTATCGTTGGTCAGCGAATCCTTGCGGTTGTAGCTGTTGTTGATGCTGTCCCGCTGCTGTTGCTGTTGGTAAGTATGCTGCTGCTGCTGTTGCTTCTGCAGCAGCTTCGCCTCGCGCTTCACGGAATCAGAGCTGGTGTTTGTGGGCGAGTCCACCGAGGAGGAGGACGTGGGCGAGGATTCACCAGAGGCACGCGGTGCTAGTGCGCCGTTGATACGCGGATTTACCAGACGACTGGGTGAATCCCTAAGGCTGTCCACCTGCAAAAAAAAAGCTTTGTTTAGGTTTTCCCTATATTGGTTTTATTGATCACTTACCTTTTTGGCCTGGGCGGGAAGCGGATTGCTGGTCTGCGGTGTCCGGGACAGATTGAGAATAAGGTCGCCGGTCATCATGTAAGCCTCAAAGCGTGGCGCCTTCGCCGGCTGCGGTGGCGCCGAGTTCGGTTCCGGTTCCCGCTCCGGCTCCCTATCCGCAAACCGCTGCCTGGTCACCGGACTGCCGCTGTAGCTGTTGGAGTGCTGCAGCGATTGCGGCGGCAGATGGGCGGTGTGTCCGTTCCCGTTCCCGTTTCCGTTCGCCGCCTTTGTCGGAATCTGCGAAGGGCGTGGACGCTTATTCTGCGGCGAATGGAGTACGGGCACGGGCTTGGGTACGGCACATTTGGTGAGCGCCTGTGGAATGCGTGAGGGGCGGAAGGTGGGCGAGGTGGCCTCGCCACCAACACCACCAACACTACCAGTGGGCGATATGAGACCCACTACGTTCGTGGTCGAGGTGGTGATGCTCGTCTCCACCACCTTGATCTTGGTGGAGCTGGCCGAGGAGTTTCGACTGTGGCTGTGCGTATGCGTGGCGGTGGTTGTGGTCGTGGTGGATCCACTCGCCAGCAGTGGCGACGAATTCTGGCGCAGCGAGGGCAAGTGCGTGGGCGACTTGTAGCGCAGTCCGCTCTGCGAGGGCGTGGTCGCCGCCCCCTTACCACCAGCGTTTGGCCGGTGATTCGGCGAGGAGTTGGTGCTGCTGCTGTGGTAGTCGTAGATGTTCGGCGACTCAATGTCCACATAGTGCGGACTCTGGGTGTTGGCCAGCTGCTCTTTGATCCGCGCCTTGAGCTTGGGATCTGAGGGGTAAGGGTGAATATTAGTTTTTGATTCTTAAGCAAACCGATGAACCATTTAAAAGCCTTGAACAAATCATGGTAATTAGAAAAGCAGTTTGGTTCAGTTCAGTTAGGTTCGGTTCGGTTTGGTTTGGTTCGGATCAAAACCGGTTTGCATCCTCGAAGAATGGTGTACATTTCCACCTACCTCGCTTCAGCTCCAAGGTCACCAGCTGTTCCGACAGGCGCAGGCATTTGAGAACTGTTCAAAAATATGTTTCGGTTAATTATTCACAGCTTTCTCCGACAGCATTCCATTATGCCCAGCAGGCACCCACTCACCTTCCTTCGTTGTGTAGCGATGGACATCCGTTCCGTTGACTTTGAGGATGACATCCCCGGCCTCAACCTGCAAAATGGAGAAGCAGAGAGGCACATTTAGTAGGCAAATCACTGGCAATGCCCCTCGATTCTATTGACAACGCCAGAAAGCCTATTGATTTTCCTTCGGCTCGACTGGCAGAGACTGGGCTTTGTTATTATTATTCGCATGTTGGGCTGTCGGCACTTGTAAACTATTTTTAATTTTCTTCTCGATGGAAATGCGGGAAATTGCGGGAGAGCTGTCGGGCGGGTGAAAAACAGCATGAAATCACAACGTGGGACGACATTGGCGCCTTATTTACTTGCTGACGCTGACGTAGGAACACAAGCTGAAGAGCTTTTCGGTGTCCGTATCCGGGGTTGAGTGGTACGTGGAGGAACCTTCACCTCCGGCCAGCCCCAGCACTCATAGATTATTCAATAAATATGCTATGCCAGGCCCAGCTAGCATTGGGGATTTTGGGTTTGGATACGCGGCGACACGCGCCTCCTGGATTCATGGCAAATGCATGCACAGGGAGCTCAAATTACTTTTGTACTATTATTGCATAATTAGTTCTGCTCCTCAATGGCCTTCCTGACTTGGCTGCGTCGGTTATTATTAATGCACAGGATGGTATATGTATATACACATATAAGTTGGAGGGCAGGATGTTGGGTGTGTGCTTCCTTCGGAGACACTTGACGCGAATTGCGGGCGGCAATTAAAACTAAAAGTCGCACTAATTTATGCTCTCACTATATCTCGCTCGGTGGAACTGCTGGGAAATCGTGGGTCTGCAAGAGAGAACTCTGCATTTGGCCAAGACGAGAGAGCGATAGAGAGAGCCGGATATGGGGGGAAAACTGGGCTAAGAGAGAGTGCCGGGAAACTTTGCAGCCAGAGAGAGAGAGAGAGAGTGAGTGGGTGCCACATATTGCTGCTGTTGCCGCGGGCGGCAATGCAATTCAATTAAGACTGTGCTTAAATTAATTGTGCCGCCCGAAAAATGTCGACAAACTGAGTTTACATAACATCCGTACCCAGGCCGCCACCCAAACGAGCCACCCCTTGCCGGCAATTTCTAGGCGAAAAGAAAGTCAAACCCGTAATGCAAATTTGATGTTTTCCCCCGTGGCAGCATCTGCATAACACGACAAAGGAACTGAACCACTCTCCACTTTTGGCCACTTCGGAAACCTGGAAACGTGTTCGCCGCCTTTTGATAACAAGCCGCGATTAATGGCTTGCAGCGCCACAGCGGCGCAGAGCTTCTCCAGATTCGATTAGGCACTTTAAAACAGCCAGCAGTCATCAGCAGATGCACAGCCACAACCACACACACTCGAGTCGAGCGCATCCAACAAAATTGCTTTTGCATTTCACTTTCACGCTCTGAAGGGGAGCAGGGAACGATAGCTACAAGACATGATTACAGTGGAACCCCTTTCAATGAAACTATGTGCAAAACCCAGAAGGGTCCCCTAGAGAAACCATTTCTTATTTTCATCCGTCTTTTTATGGGTTGTGCGGTAATATGCACCCTCTATTAAGATAGTTTTGATTGATCCGTTGTAGCCGAGCTCCTCTGTATACTGCTGCTGAGATAGTGGGCCCCCTGGGCACAAAGTTGTCGAGTCGAGCTAGTCAAGCAACCGACAACCAACAACCAGCAACCAGCACCCAGCAGGCTGCACAGTTAAAAGTTAAATCAATCAGTTACACTCCACTGCCGCCCTGTCCGCCACCCGCTCCATCCGCACCCTTTGACCCCTGGCTTGCACTTGCATGTGACCCCGCATCTTCTTCTTCTGCTGCACCGCCGGCTGCTCAAATTGAAATTGGTTCGAATTGATTTGTTTTTACACCCAACGACACCAATGACACTTGGACAGAGCCTCTCCTGCATTTTGTACGACCCATCCATTCCATTCTGCTCTATTCGCATTTGGTGTGGTCACCAGTCCTGTTTGTTATCCGCAATGTCATGCCCCTATTCCAAATTGCAAAAGGCACAAAAAAGTTGACTGGTCGTTGAAGAGACGACCACAAGAGGATGAGCTGCACTTTGGGGGAGACCAAAATAAGCCATCGCAGCCGTGATTGATCCAATGAGATGTCCCGATAGTGAAGTCACAAGGGATAGCCTTAAATTGAAGTGCACTAACTGAATCTGACTAAAGGGCTATCCTCAGCCGCTTAAGATTGTTTTCGTAGATACATAATAACTTGAAATATTTTGTTTAATGTAAAATAATGTATCACTTTACTTCCGAAATGGGTTTGGGAAACCCCCAGGTGTCCCGGTAATGGAAGCCCATGTTTACTGTAAAACAAGTGTTAATATATTGAATATTCTAAAGGGGAAGCAGTTGAACACGACACTTATGTAAATAGAGGGACGCTTATCAGGAAATTCCTAATTCCCCATAATCGCCTGTGAAATGCATATGGACTGATAGACCCCATACCAAATACCATTTAGCATTCACGTCACATTCTGCTTTCAATAATCGACTAGTTGAGGCCACAATTAATGCCAAGTGAACAATGGTTTGTTTTTTCGATTTTTCGGGGCTCTCCTTGTGTATGTTTTGATTTTGGTTCAATGACGCTTTATTGACACGAACTAAACCAATATCAATTAACAATAGCAACAACACGACGCCCACTTGGCAGGTTGTGTGTGTGTGGGTGAGGGCAAACAAGGGGATTGATTGATTGTATTAGCGAATACGACGACCTAGTCAAGTACGCTGCCGTGCACTACCTTCACCGCTTTACGGTTATATGCGGCAGTATCATCGGATGGTCTATGGACTCCTATTGCCGCAGAGTCGTTGACAGACTGCAGTAATGGTAAGGGGGTAAGGCCCACTAACCTCTTTTCGCCGGAGCGCCCAGAACCCAGAAAATCAATGTTGGTGCAGGCAGGCAGGCAGAAGGTGAAGCCAGCCAGTCCGCTTGCCACGTGGGCGTCACAAGTGACGCACTCAGCGGAAAAAATGTTGAGACCCGTGGCATGAGCCGTGTTGGAGGTAAGAGTGTGCGGTTGGAGCCAGACACTTGGAGCCCATGGAGCTCTCACTCAATCAGAAAGCCTGTTATTGGACTAATGATTTTGCCACTTCCCTGGCTATTTGCATTCTACACGGCTTCGTCTGGTCTTTGTTTACACGTTCTGTCCTTCAGCACGGCACTTAGAGGTAAAGGGTCCCCCATTGGACATCAATCACACCCCCTATTAAATGCGAATGTGAAATACAAAAAAAGAAATAGGAATGAGAGCAGAAAGTTGGAAATTGCGCTAATTTATGATTATAATATAGATTATTCAGTGCAGAAACCAAACTATGAATAAGCTGAATGAGAAATTAGGGAACGTAGTTTAGGGAATTAAATGTAATACTGGATGGTGATTACTCAATGCCCCGAGCACCAATAAACCACTTCGAGCTATGGCTCGAAAGGGTTTCCTTTCCGGCTCAAGGGGGCGACATCTTATCATGTTTAACTAATAAATATCTGCAGAATGGCGCCGGACAAAAGCAGATCAAATATATGCGAGCACACACGCTCGTTTTGCTGTTTTATTTATTTTGACGACCTTGCGGCACACTCATTGTGGATTTCCTTTCATATTTGCACCAAATAAAGCGAGGGGGAGCAACAAATTAGCATGAATTGCTTTATTTCATTATCATGCTCCGCTGGGTGTTGTGTAATCGCGGGAATCGGAAGTCGAATGAGTGCTTTCAGTGGCTCGCATGGTCTGAATGGCGATGGCGGTAGTGATAGTGATGCTATCACTGCACCGCTTAGCTAAATAATTCCGGTGATGGGAACAACATGACGAACGATCCATTATGTTCATAAAGTGCGAACTTTGACAGAACTATGCCAATGGGCTCGCCGACTGGAGATTGTGAATTGAGTGATTCACACCCAGTCACCAAAAATGTATACTAAACATAGACAATATATAAAGAGGTTTTTGGGAAAAAGCACTCTTACTCAGCAAGATTATACCTTCTTCTATGTACTCTCTTTGGGTTTTTGGGGCAAGTTGTTTGCTTAATTTCTAACTGCCTAATTAAAAAGCTTGCCATCTTAACGGGCACAAATTTCACTACATTTTTGCCCCACTTTTTGTGGAGCAAATATCGCAAGCAAATTTAGTAATTTGGCTTGGGGTAAATTCGCTAGCTATCCAAAAAATTATGTTTAATAATGAGACTTTAATCCAGTTTCTTGCCTCTTAGGAATGAATACTTAAATCTTTCGCTAAGCTTTTTCTCTTTTATTTAATTTGCACCCGTTTGGTCTGGAGATTCAAGGTTTGAGCGTATCGATTGCATCACGAATATTTTTATCTCAGGCTTAAATAAATGTTTAGCCATCTTTATTACCCCTATTTACTGTGTGTTGTGTTCCCTGCATTGTAAATATCCGAAAAATGTGCGCACTTTCTACGCCGGAAAATCGAAATGGACGGGATGTTGGTCCGAATCTCTGGCATTGTGGAATTCTCTGGCGAATATGTGAATATGTGAGTGTGTGTGAATGCGGCTCGTGCGGGATTTGCATTTGTGCAAAACGCATAAAAATCAAACTGCAACAAGAACGCACGAAAAGTAGAGACACCAACAACAAATGTTTTTCAAACAAAAAGTTAGTCTACATGTGTATGTGTTTTATCGGGCTGCCAGTTACACTGAGAGAATCTGAACTGTTAAGCATTGTAGCATTTCAATTTAAAGCATTATGAATAATGTATGAAAATATTGAATATTGAATGAAAATAAGCTAGGAATCAGCAGCTTGTCCGAGGTATAGAACTGGAAGATATTTGAATATGATTTTTAAGGATAAAACCAACTAATTTTGTAAACTTTTTCCTGTTTAGGTATTTCGATTTGGTTCTTTTTTAAACAATGTGCATAGGCAGGGTTTATTTTTGTTATTGATTTGCATTCGCCTTGGTAGCAGCATTTGCCCCACCAAAGTTTGCAAATGTGGGCCAGAAAGTCGCAAGAAGGGGGAGT